TATTCTTTTTGTTTTTCATGTAAAGGTTATTTATTCACTGTTATGAATATGCTACTGTATAGACTAATATAAGTTTAAAGAAGGAAGTGATGGAGTAATTCTTCATACTCTTGTTGCTCTGTTCCTCTCTTTTCTTCCAGAAAACCAGACCTCTCACGTCTTTCAGGGTTTTCGCGTGTTCTGTTGAATTCATGCATTAAGTTCTCATGATCTCGTGTTTCTTTTGTTAAGATTTTATGGCTCTGTTTCATTGAATTATGTGAAGATATCACTTTTTTTTTTTTTTTTTTTTTTTGCTATCATACGCCGCTCATTCGTCTACTTTTAATTGCAATCGTTTCGAAGCACATGGCATAGAGTTGAGCGTTGCCGTGGCAAGTTTCTTAGAAGGTTCAGGTGCCTGAAAATGCCAAGAGGATGAAGTGAAGGCGCAATGGAGAATGGAGTGATGTTCACCCAGCTTCATTCGTCTATTTTAATCTTTATTATTATTATTTATTTTTTTTTTTTTTTTTTTTTTTTGTTTGAGAAGTGGTGTGAGTTGAGAATTGAGTTAGAAAGGTGGAGGTGTAAAGAGAAGTATTGCTTGGATGAGAAGGTTCGAAATCAAAGTCGGATGACTGAGAACAATCTGTTATTGATGATTATAAGCGAGGTGCAAAGTCCTTAACTTAGTATCTATGGAAATGATTTATTATTCTTTTAATGGATTTAGAGTATGATCATGGTTGTGTATGCATAATGCTTGCACATTTTTATAGATGAATTTCTAAAAAGAATCAAAGCAATTTCTTAGTAGGCTTTTTGTAGGTGGCAATGGCATTGCTTTCAAATTTAGCTGTAATTGATCATGATTATTCTCATGGTTTAATCATGTTAGCATTATGCTTGAGAATTTTTTGTCATTTTGCAGCATTTGGAGAGAAAACGGTGATTGGGAGTTTATAGAGCATGGACTGATGGAAGAGACTGAGGAGTTCATTGAAGAACCCAGGAGGTATTGGAGGAGATGAAACGTCAAGGAAAAGACTTTGTAAACAAGATGTTACGAGGAGGTACAACCATACAGGACGTGAGAATTTGGCATCAAATTACTTGCCACAAGGTTAGTGTCTTTCTAAACAATAAGGATTCAGTTATCAACATTATTTAGTTGTTTCAGTGGTATCTTTTTGTCCTGTTTAAAGCTTCTAGCAAAATTAGCTCACTGCTGTAGAAAAATAGGTTCATACTTATATTTGTTAAATGCATAAAAGCGAGTTGTTCTAATAATGATTTTTTAGCTACACGGAAGTAAAATATTTCCTTCTTGGATATCTCATTTTTCTGTAAACTGTTGGTTCAATTATTTCCAGTGCATTGATATTATGTGCTTATTCTTAAGTGTTTTCTTCTTCTGTAGAGCATTTACAGCAGTTGAGCTTAGAAGAAACTGAATGGAAAGAGTTTCCTCTAATATTGTCGAGGCCGTAATAACTGATTTAGCAGGTACATAACCATGTTTTTTTTTTGAAGGAGTTTGTGCTTCTTGGAACTACCATCATCGTTTTTCTGAAGGAGTTTTTGCTACTTCCTGGAGCCATCATCGTTTCTGAAAGTTCACTTGGTGGTTTCTGAGAAGTCTCTGACCTTTTTCCTGTATGGCAGAGGGCTGATCAACGATGGCTTGTATGCCAAAGCATTTTCCACGTCTAGATGGTCTACTTCAACCTGGGGACCTAGACGGATAAAGCAAGTATTTTTCTTTATAGTCATAGGTTTTACTTCATGAATTTATATATTGTTTATGAATGGCTTTCTTTTATGAAGATGGAACTTCAGAGGTGTTCTTTCTACATCCTATAGGAAGCGTAGTCCTAATTTATGGATCACTAATTCTTGGCGCATTGTTGGATCAGGCAGTGTTCAACAAGGGAATAAGTGGAACTGATGCAATAAGGCAGTAAAACTGGTTTTACAGGATGCTGACTCTGACGGAGAGAAGAATCAAAACTTGGCCTGTCAAAGCTTTCAATGGATCAACTTTTGTCAGGCCAAGAAGCAATGGCTCCGAAGTCAGGACCGACGAAGAAACACGTAAAACAAGGATTCTCTATGATTGAGGGCAATATTGTATATTCTTTTTGTTTTCTCATGTAAAGGTTATTTTATTTCACTTGTATAAATAGGCTACTGTACAGACTTTTAATAATAAGTTTAAAGAAGGAAGTGACGGAGTAATTCTTCATCACTCTTGTTGCTCTGTTCCTCTCTTTTCTTCCAGAAAACTAGACCTCTCATCGTCTTTCATGGTATCAGAGCAGGTGTCGAAACATTAGAGAATGATGAGTCAACTCCCACCCTCAACCTTACTGACCTCAGCAACCCAAACAACCCATACTGTCTTGAAACCTCTGATAATCCTGGTACCCTTCTGGTCACCGAACATCTTACAACTAAGAATTACTCCACTTGGTCCAGATCCATTCAACGAGCACTGCGGGCAAAGAATAAACTCGGATTTCTTGATGGAACTATCGACAAACCCCCCTCTACCTCTGCACTCCTCCTCTCATTGTGGGAATGATGCAATGATATGCTTGTGTCCTGGCTTCAAAACGCTATCAGTCTGCCTCTTCGTCCATCGGTTGTGTTCGTTGATGATGCTAGCACATTGTGGCTTGAATTAAAGGACCGTTTTTCCCCTCAAAATGGTCCCCGTATCTATGAATTGAAGAAAACATTTGCCAATCTGTCACAAGAAACAGATACGGTAAGCACCTACGATGGCAAACTTAAATCCATCTGGGATGAACTCTCCATCTATGACCCATTACCTGTTTGCTCTTGTGCCTTAACGAAAATCATCTCAGCCCGATACCAGCAAGACTGTGTGATCCAATTTCTGATGGGTCTCCATGACTCGTTTACAAATGTTCGTGACCAAATTATGTTGATTGATCCTCTACCACCTGTCAATAAAGTTTTTTCCTACATTCAACAACAAGAACGACATCATCTCATCACCTCCGCTGCCCCTCTAGTTGAAACTATTGCATTGGCTGCTCGTCGACCATCTCAATTTTCTCCCAAGCGAGACAAGTTGTACTGCTCTCATTGTAAAATCACAGGCCATACTTTGGCCCAATGCTTCAAATCTGGAAATGTCACAGCCCCTGTCTATACTCATTGTGAGATGACTGGACACACTGCCGAATGTTGCTACAAGCTTCACAGCTATCCCCCTTGACACAAGTATCACAAGCCACGCCTCAATGCCGTCTCCATGGAAACCCCCTCTTCAGCAACCAACAATGAACCAAACCTTGTATTGACTAAAGAGCAATATCAAGAAATTATAGCCTTGCTGCACAAGACGAACTCGACTGCTTCTCCATCTGCAAACCAACTATAATTTGTTCCTCCAACTCAACCCCATATTTCATCGGTTGCTGGTATCTCTTTGTGTTTGTCTTCTTTTTCCTTTAGTTCTCAACCTTAGATCATTGACACGGGTTCTACAGATCATATGATCTGAAGCCCCTCCCTCTTCACCAAAATAACATCCACCACTTCTAATTTTGGTAAGCTCACAAATGGAGAAGTAGCTACTGTCACTCACATTGGTACCGTGCAAGTGACAACAACTCTTCTCCTCCATGACGTTTTATGTGTTCCCAATTTCCATTTTAATTTGTTATCTGCAGCTAAACTTGCCAAACAACTGAATTGTTGTCTCATGTTTTTCTCTGATGTTTGTTTTATACAGGGCCTTTCTCCCTGGACAACGATTGGGAAGGGTAGCCTGCTACATGGTCTCTATCACTTACACACAGCAGATATCTCACCTCAAGCTTTAGTTCATACTTTTTCACAGCATTTTGCACTTAAAAATCCCTTTTCAGGCTCCGTGCAACCTCTCGACAGTGCTCATTTTTTATGGCATTGTCGATTGGGTCACCCTTCCCATTCTCGCATGTTACACATACAAGATTCCAATGTAACTACTCATATGAATATCAATGAAAATTTACCTTGTCTTACTTGTCCTCTCGCCAAACAAACAAGGCTCCCATTTCCTTCTCGCACTAACTCTACTTCTAATTGCTTTGATCTTTTTCACTGTAATTTATGGGGAACCACACAACATTTCAGACCACAATGGTTCTCGGTTTTTCCTCACAATTGTTGACGACTTCTCTCGCTGCACTTGGGTGTATATTCTGAAAAATAAATCTGATGCGTGTCCTTGTTTAAAATCCTTTTGTAATCTGGTTGTCACTCAATTTAATATAGGAATTAAAATCCTGCGTAGTGACAATGGCCTGGAATTTTCCATGACAGACTTCTATTTTGAACATGGCATAATTCATCAAACCTCATGTGTCGAGACCCCCCAACAAAATGGGTTAGTTGAGAGAAAGCATCGACATCTCCTTCAAGTGGCTCGTGCCTTACGTTTCCAATCAGGAATACCATTAGAATTCTGGTCTGCATGTGTTCTTACAGCCACCTACCTAATCAATCGTATTCCCACCCCTCTTCTTCGCAACTCAGGTAAACCATTTCCTATCTCTTCTTCTATTTCTTTCCATAAACTTTCTTCATCTTATCATGCTTTTATTTCTACTTTGTCTGCCACACCTGAACCTCAGTCTTATGGAGAAGCTGTCAAGTACCCTCATTGGTGTGAGGCTATGAATTCTGAAATATCTGCCCTTGAACTCAATATCACTTGGTCACTTGTTGATTTACCAGCTGGTAAGCATACCATTGGCTCCAAATGGATCTTTAAAGTCAAGCATAATTCTGATGGGAGCATTGAGCACTACAAAGCGCGTCTTGTTGCCAAAGGATTTACACAGCAAGAGTGACTTGATTACAACGAAACCTTTGCCCCGGTAGCAAAACTTGTTATTGTTCAAACTTTGTTAGCAGCTGCCTCTATCAAAGGCTGGTTTCTTAGACAATTTGATATTCAAAATGCCTTCCTACACGGCGACTTGGAAGAAGAAGTTTTTATGCGCAAACCTCCTGTTTATTTCAAAGAGGCACCGAATCAGGTTTGCCGCTTACACAAGAGTCTCTATGGCTTAAAAGAAGCCCCGCGTCAATGGTATTCAAAGTTTTCTCAAGCCTTATTCACTTTCGGCTTCCAACAATCTAAGGCTAACCACAGCCTATTTACTCGGCTGCACAATGGCTCTTTCACAGCACTTCTCGTCTATGTTGACGACATCATTGTGGCCAGCTCAAGCATGGACTCTATTGCTGCTCTTCAGTCATTTCTCAGTGAGCATTTTTGGATTAAATGTCTTGGTAATCTTTGTTACTTTCTTGGAATTGAAGTTGCTTGTTCTTCCAAGGGTATATCTATTTGTCAACGGAAGTATGCTCTAGATATATTATCTGATGCTGATGTTCTCAATACTCGACCACTCAAGTTGCCAATGGAACAAAATTTGAAGCTTCGAATAGATGATGGTCTGCCTCTCTCGGATCCTCTCCCTTATCGACGTTTGGTTGGGCGATTAATTTATCTCACAATTACTCGCCCCGATATCAGCTATGTTGTCCATGTTTTAAGTCAATTTATGACTACTCCTACTTCCTCACATCAACATGCAGCTCACCAAGTTCTCCGCTACATCAAGAATGCACCAGGTCAAGGACTCCTTTTTCCCTCCAGCTCCTCTTTTCATCTTCGAGGTTATACTAACTCGGATTGGGCCTCTTGCCCCAATTCTCGCTGCTCCATTACGGGCTTTTGCATCTTCCTTGGATCCTCATTGATCTCATGGCGTTCAAAGAAGCAAACTGTGGTCTCTCGCTCCTCCGTTGAAGTTGAGTATCGAGCCATGGCAACTACTTCTTGTGAACTACAATGGCTGTCTTATATTTTACAAGACTTGCACTTCTCGGTTTCACTTCCAGCTAATCTCTATTACGATAATCAGGCTACCTTACATATCGCAGCAAATCCGGTGTTTCACGAGCGCACAAAACACATTGAGATCGATTGCCATCTCATTCGCTACAAAATTCAATCTGGTTTTTTACGCACTTCCCATGTTCGTTCTTCACTTCAGCTTGCGGATGTCTTCACCAAGGCACTTCCTTCCACTCAACTTGGCTTTCTTTTGTCCAAGATGGGAATAGAAAACATCTATTCTCCATCTTGCGTGGGGATATTAGAGGATGATGAGTCAGCTAACCGAGAGAGCAACACCACTACGTGCCCAACAAACTCTCAACAGATTTGATCATGACATTCTGAGCTGTACATACATGCCCAACAAATTCTCAACAGATTTGATCATGAGCTGTACATATGATTGAGGGCAATATTGTATATTCTTTTTGTTTTCTCATGTAAAGGTTATTTTATTTCACTTGTATGATATGCTACTGTATAGACTTCTAATAATAAGTTTAAAGAAGGAAGTGATGGAGTAATTCTTCATCACTCTTGTTGCTCTTTTCCTCTCTTTTCTTCCAGAAAACCAGACCTCTCATCGTCTTCAGTGTTTTCGCGTGTTCTTTGAATTCATCGATTAAGTTCTCATGATCTCGTGTTTCTTTGTTAAGATTTTATGGCTCTGTTTCATTGAATTATGTGAAGATATCACATTTTTTTTTTTTTTTTTTTTTTTGCTATCATTACGCCGCTTCATTCGTCTACTTTTAATTGCAATCGTTTCGAAGCACATGGCATAGAGTTGAGCGTTGCCGTGGCAAGTTTCTTAGAAGGTTCAGGCTGCCTGAAAATGCCAAGACGGATGAAGTGAAGGCGCAATGGAGAATGGAGTGATGTTCACCCAGCTTCATTCGTCTATTTTTAATCTTTATTATTATTATATTATTTTTTTTTTTTTTTTTTTTTTTTTGGTTGAGAATGGTGTGAGTTGAGAATTGACGTTAGAAATGTGGAGGTGTAAAGAGAGTATTGCTTGGATGAGAAGGTTCGAAATCAAAGTCGGATGATGAGAACAATCTGTTATTTGATGATTATAACGAGGTGCAAAGTCCTTAACTTAGTTATCTATGGAATGATTATTATTCTTTTTAATGGATTTAGAGTATGATCATGGTTGTTGTATGCATAATGCTTGCACATTTTTATAGATGAATTTCTAAAAAGAATCAAAGCAATTTCTTAGTAGGCTTTTTGTAGGTGGCAATGGCATTGCTTTCAACTTTAGCTGTAATTGATCATGCTTATTCCTCATTGGTTTAATCATGTTAGCATTATGCTTGAGAATTTTTTTGTCATTTTGCAGCATTTGGAGAAGAAAACGGTGATTGGGAGTTTATAGAGCATGGACTGATGGAAGAGACTGAGGAGTTCATTGAAGAACCCCAGGAGGTATTGGAGGAGATGAAAAACCGTCAAGGAAAAGATCTTTGTAAACAAGATGTTACGAGGAGGTACAACCATACAGGACGCTGAGAATTTGGCCATCAAATTACTTGCAACAAGGTTAGTTTGTAGCTTTTACTAACAATAAGGATTCAGTTATCAACTTATTTAGTTGTTTCAGTTGGTATCTTTTTTGTCCATGTTTAAAGCTTTCTAGCAAAATTAGCTCACTGCTGTAGAAAAATAGGTTCATACTTACTATATTTGTTAAATGCATGAAATAAAGCGAGTTGTTCTAATAATGATTTTTTCTTAGCTACACGGAAGTAAAATATTTCCTTCTTGGATATCTCATTTTTCTGTAAACTCGTTTGGTTCATATTATTTCCAGTGCATTGATATTATGTGCTTTATTCTTAAGCTTGTTTTCTTCTTCTGTAGAGCATTTACAGCAGTTGAGCTTAGAAAGAAACTGAATGGAAAGAAGTTTCCTCCTAATATTGTCGAGGCAGTAATAACTGATTTTCAGAGCAGGTACATAACCATGTTTTTCTTTTCTGAAGGAGTTTGTGCTACTTCTTGGAACTACCATCATCGTTTTTCTGAAGGAGTTTTTGCTACTTCCTGGAGCAGCCATCATCGTTTCTGAAAAGTTCACTTGGCTGGTTTCTGAGAAGTCTCTGACCTTTTTCCTGTATGGCAGAGGGCTGATCAACGATGGCTTGTATGCCAAAGCATTTTCACGGTCTAGATGGTCTACTTCAACCTGGGGACCTAGACGGATAAAGCAAGTATTTTTCTTTATAGTCATAGGTTTTACTTCATGAATTTATATATTGTTTATGAATGGCTTTCTTTTATGAATGATGGAACTTCAGAGGTTGTCTTTCTACATCCTATAGGAAGCGTAGTCCTAATATTATGGATCACTAATTCTTGGCGCATTTTGATTGGATCAGGCAGTGTTCAACAAGGGAATAAGTGGAACTGATGCAGATAAGGCAGTAAAACTGGTTTTACAGGATGCTGACTCTGACGGAGAGCAAGAATCAAAACTTGGCCTGTCAAAGCTTTCAATGGATCAACTTTTTGTTCAGGCCAAGAAGCAATGGCTCCGAAGTCAGGATGCACCGAAAGAAACACGTAAAACAAGGATTATTCGTTGGCTTCAGTACCGTGGTTTCAACTGGGTAATTACTAGTTTCATATTGAAGAAGTTAGAATCCCAGTATCCTACCTAGAGCACAATAAATGAATTCTTTCTGACCATGTTGTCGATGGAATGATGATCCATAGTCCATTACCTTGAAATGTAAGTTTTTTTGTATGATAAGGTTTCATTACACCCGCCATTGGAACATGCTGAAATGGCCAAAAGGTTAGTTGCTGGAGCCCATAACTGAGACAAAGTTGTGTTTATAGGTGTATGAAATGGCCAAAAGGGTTTTTTTTTTTTTTTTTTTTTTGGCTACTTTTTCTTTTTAACTATTTCTAACTTCAATAAATCAAGGATGTTTGTGATGCTATTTCAAAAAGAGTAGACCTCAGTTAGTCAACAAGACTACGTATCATAAGTTTTGAAGCTTCCAATTTCTTCATCTATTTTGTCATAGGTCATATCCTTGTTTGTAGAGAAGGGATTAAAGCTGACTTAGATTTAATCTGAAACACATTTGGAGTATATACAAAATCGTGTTCAAAATTTTTGAGTGGTTTCAGTTAAGTTTACATAAATTTGAAAGATGTTTATTAAAGAAATGGAAAATGCTATTTTAAACTAACTCATCAAGTTAAGTAACTGTAATTATATATATCACATTTGTAGTATTCTCTATCATCTAACTTAACAATGCGAAAAATCAATAGTTTTCTAATCGAGTATATTTATCTTACATGTAAATATTTATTGATTACATGCACGAAACTTGCAAAGACATAAAATTTATAAAATCAATATATTTTGGGTATTAAGGTTAACACATTGGGCTAAAGGTCGAGGTTAATTATTGTCAAACAATTTTTAGAATCAGAAGTTGCTGAGACCAAAGAAAGACATTGAATATTGCCTGTTAGCTTACTGCTCCCGGCAGTTATTACATGATCAAGCTTTTTTAGATTGCCAATGGACCAACAGGAATCTGACCTGAAAATTTATTGTAGCCTAAGGTTAGATTGGTCAACTTTGTGCAGTTTACAATTTCAACAGGTATTATACCTGACAACTGATTGAAACTTAAGTGAAGGAATTGAAGCTTCACAAGTTTTCCAAAACTTCTCGGTATGCTGCCAGTTATAAGATTCCTTGCGATATCCAAGTATTTCAACTCTGTGTAGTTTCCAAAATAATCAGGAATTGCACCCACTAAACTGTTGTTCCGTAATATTAGACTCTGAAGCTTCACAAGTTTTCTGAAACTTCTCGGTATGCTACCAGTTAAAAAATTATTCATGACATCAAAGTATTTCAGCTCTGTGCAGTTCCCGAAATCCTCAGGAATTGTACCCTCAAAGCCGTTACCCCGTAAGTTCACAAATTGAAGCTTCATAAGTTTTGCAAAGCTTCTCGGTATGCTGCCATTTAGAAGATTATCTGAGAAATCAATTTCTATCAGCTCTTTACAGCTTCCAATTCGACTTGGGATTGTGCCAGAGATTGAAGTGTAATACAAGTACATGATCTGCAACTGGCTACAGTTTCCAATATTTTCTGGGATATGACCTGACAGTTGTGTTCTANTCAAAAAGAGTAGACCTCAGTTAGTCAACAAGACTACGTATCATAAGTTTTGAAGCTTCCAATTTCTTCATCTATTTTGTCATAGGTCATATCCTTGTTTGTAGAGAAGGGATTAAAGCTGACTTAGATTTAATCTGAAACACATTTGGAGTATATACAAAATCGTGTTCAAAATTTTTGAGTGGTTTCAGTTAAGTTTACATAAATTTGAAAGATGTTTATTAAAGAAATGGAAAATGCTATTTTAAACTAACTCATCAAGTTAAGTAACTGTAATTATATATATCACATTTGTAGTATTCTCTATCATCTAACTTAACAATGCGAAAAATCAATAGTTTTCTAATCGAGTATATTTATCTTACATGTAAATATTTATTGATTACATGCACGAAACTTGCAAAGACATAAAATTTATAAAATCAATATATTTTGGGTATTAAGGTTAACACATTGGGCTAAAGGTCGAGGTTAATTATTGTCAAACAATTTTTAGAATCAGAAGTTGCTGAGACCAAAGAAAGACATTGAATATTGCCTGTTAGCTTACTGCTCCCGGCAGTTATTACATGATCAAGCTTTTTTAGATTGCCAATGGACCAACAGGAATCTGACCTGAAAATTTATTGTAGCCTAAGGTTAGATTGGTCAACTTTGTGCAGTTTACAATTTCAACAGGTATTATACCTGACAACTGATTGAAACTTAAGTGAAGGAATTGAAGCTTCACAAGTTTTCCAAAACTTCTCGGTATGCTGCCAGTTATAAGATTCCTTGCGATATCCAAGTATTTCAACTCTGTGTAGTTTCCAAAATAATCAGGAATTGCACCCACTAAACTGTTGTTCCGTAATATTAGACTCTGAAGCTTCACAAGTTTTCTGAAACTTCTCGGTATGCTACCAGTTAAAAAATTATTCATGACATCAAAGTATTTCAGCTCTGTGCAGTTCCCAAAGCTTCTCGGTATGCTGCCAGTTAGAAGATTCATTGAGAGATCAATAACTATCAGCTCTTTGCAGCTTCCAATTCGACTTGGGATTGGGCCAGAGATTAAAGTCTTATACAAGTACAAGATTTGCAACTCACTGCAGTTTCCAATCGCTCCTGGGATATGGCCTGACAGTTGTGTTCTATAAAGGGATAATTGTTGAATTCTTTTGAGCATTCCAATTCGGCTCGGGATTGGGCCAGAGATTAAAGTCCTATCCAAGTACAGGATCTGCAACTCGCAGCAGTTTCCAATCTCTTCTGGGATATGACTTGACAATTGTGTTTCAACAAAGCCTAAAAATATTAAGTTGGTGCAGTTTCCTATCTCCATTGGTAGTTCACCCGTTAGATAAGTCCCACCAGCTCGAAATATCTGTAGCTTGCTCAATTCTCCAATAGTTTTTGGAATTTTCCCACTGAGTTGATTATTGTAGAGTATCAGAATTGAAAGACTTGACAAGTCTCCAATGCCAGAAGGAATTTCGCCTTTAAGAAAGTTCATGTTGAGATATAAACTTTGCAATCTATTTAGCCAACATATTTCCTTTGGGATTTCACCTGAAAGAGAATTGTCACTAAGATCAATGAAAGTGAGCTCGTGATATTCTCCAATTTCTTTTGGTATTGTGCCCGTGAGATTGCAAGATGATATAGTAAGATTCTTCAAGGACTTGAGAGATTGAAAATTTGAAGGCAATGAACCTTCCAATTCTACTCCTTTTAGGGCTTATATTCACCACTTCTCCCTTTGAGTTGCAGTAGATCCCAAACCATTTGCATGGACTGGAGTCTGTAGAATTCTAATTTTTCAATGCATCAGTGGGGNTGGCATCAAAGCTTGTCAGCTCTGTACAGTTTCCAAAATCGTCAGGAATTTCACCCTCAAAGCCGTTACCCCATAAACTTACATGTTGAAGCTTCATAAGTTTTCCAAAGCTTCTCGGTATGCTCCCAGTTAGAAGAGTCATTGCGACATCAATAACTATCAGCTCTTTGCAGCTTCCAATTCGACTTGGGATTGGGCCAGAGATTGAAGTACTAAACAAGTACAGCTTCTGCAACTCGCTGCAGTTTCCGATCTCTTCTGGGATATGACCCGACAGTTGTGTGCTAGAAAGTGCTAAATCTTGAATTTTTTTGAGCATTCCAATTTGAGTTGGGATTGAACGAAATAGAGACAACAGCAGGAACAAAATATAATAGTAAAACAAATCAAACAGTAAATAAAGAAAATAATACGTGCGATTTACCTTGGTTCACCCAATGTGGGCTACGTCCAGCTGAGTCAATATTATTGCAATATGTCTCACCTCTCTCGTTTACAATAAATGAATTACTCTCACACCCATAACAAGGGAAAAGTATGATTATATACTAGGTTTAAGAGATTAAACCTAGTTTTACAAGGATTTCTATTCCTAAGCCCAACCCAACAAGGAATTAGTAACTTAAAAAAAATCCTACAGCGGTTATACATAGAAAAGCTCAAAACCGCCTACGGGCTCGGGGGCGCTGCGGGACCCCCGAGTGCGTCTCCGTTACCCATTAATGCTGAAGTAGTCGACAACTCCAATAGGGATTGGGCCAGAGATTGAAGTATTATACAAGAGCAGGATCTGCAACTCGCTGCAATCCAATCTCTTCTGGGATATGACCCGACAGTTGTGTTTCATAAAGGAATAAGTGTTGAATTCTTTTGAGCATTCCAATTGATGAAGGAATACTTCCAGAAATGTTGGTTTCAGCAAAGCCTAAAAATATTAAGTTGGTGCAGTTTCCTATCTCCATTGGTAGTTCACCCGCTAGATAAGTCCCACCAGCTCGAAATATCTGTAGCTTGCTCAATTCTCCAATACTTTTTGGAATTTTCCCACTGAGTTGATTATCGTAGAGAGTATCAGAATTGAAAGACTTGACAAGTCTCCAATGCTAGAAGGAATTTTGCCTTTAAGAAAGTTCCTGTTGAGATATAAACCTTGCAATCTATTTAGCCAACATATTTCCTTTGAGATTTCACCTGAAAGAGAATTGTCACTGAGATCAATGAAAGTGAGCTCGTGATATTCTCCAATTTCTTTTGGTATTGTGCCCGTGAGATTGCAAGATGATATAGTAAGAATCTTCAAGGACTTGAGAGATTGAAAATTTGAAGGCAATGAACCTTCCAATTCTACTCCTTTAGGCTTATATTCACCACTTCTCCCTTTGAGTTGCAGTAGATCCCAAACCGTTTGCATGGACTGGAGTCTGCAAAATTCCAATTTTTCAATGCATCAGTGGAGGTGCTTAAACTGTTCTTCCATGTTAAAAGAGCTTGGCCTCGTTCATCAAGAGAAAAACAAGTAGAGAGGAGAAGAGAGTTTGTTAACAGAACCAAGGTGATGAAGGAGAAGATATTTGGATAAAACAAGCGATTCATTACAGCTTTAGGCATTGCTTATAGAGAAGAGAGGTGATTTATTTTGGAATTGTGAAAGAAATCCAGGGGCAAGTATTTAAAAGCTCATTCCATTTCCCTGTTCCCACACGCACAAAGGAAATGTTTTCCATTGCTAATTAATGCAATGTAACTTTAACGAACAATTCCATGTTGTGGGGGGCATTTATAATTAACCAAGAATCTAGACTCTATACAATGTAACCAATTAACTTAGTTAATTACAATTTTACCCTCATCCCTAACCTCCCAACACTTTATCCGTGACCCTATGAATTTCTAAGTCTCATTTGCAAAATCTCACACCTAAAACACGATATCTAGCAAGGAAAACCATTATATCCAAGTATTAAGATGGCTCTTAACTTTAAATTCTTAAATTTATCATTGTCTATAATTTTAACTTGGAAGGGTTGTGTCTTGTTGTTGTGCGAACTTTTTGTTAACATAAGTATTGTTTTAAGATTTATGAGTGAATAAATGATGTAATGTCAGTTATGTTGTGGTAATAAAGTAGATTTAGGGATGTATTATGTGAGAAACCAGTGTATAGAGAAAAACTTGACAGTTGACGTGAAGTACAATACTAGGGAATTGTTTACACATATTCCCCAATTTGGGTGATGTTATACACCAAATCAGAGATTTCACACTATTAGCATAAAAAATCACACCAACTCAATTTTTTATATTTGGATAAAACAAACGATAATTTAAGAGTTTCAGACATTGTTTAATGAGAACAGGTAATTTGTTTTGAGATTGTGGAAGAAAATTAAGCACAACCCACTAGTGGTATTTCCACCATAAATAATGGTAGTTGAAAAAGTGAAACACGTGGCACAATGCCAAAATCACCACCAAGTCCATCACTTATTCATGGCAGCGCATTTTTTCTAATGTGTAATAAAAAAGGAAAATGATAAAGTTACTAAAAATTACACACCGTATCTATACATCAAATGACCTGATAAAATCTTAACCGTTGTTAATATTAACTTATAATGAATCAATGGTCAGAATTACGCTATATTATTCGATGCACATCTTTCAATAACTATAGCATTACTCAATAAAAAATGCCACCAATCTATCATTCACATGCAACTTCTTCTCTCCTTTGGAATCCATGATCTTATATAACTTTTTTTACCCACTGTATTATTAGCCTATAAGGATGGATGAACCCCGGACCTAAGCTGGGTCAACTAAGAATAGGCCCGAGTTTATTTTTAAAAGGTCAGCCCAGGCCCAGGTTGCCGAGGACGTCCAATCTGATGGAGATTAAGAATCGGAACTTTGGGATGCCAAAGCTGTCAGTGTTATTTGTTCAGACCACAAAGCAATGGCTCCGAAACACGTAAATAGCCGAAAGGTTTGTCATTGGAACCCATCACCGTGCACAGCGCCCGCAAGTAAAAGGGTACGAAGCCTTAATTAGTGACAACAAAGCTTCGGGACAAGAAAAGAAGTAGGCGCTTGCCGCTTGATAATATCAAGCACTTCGTTTTTGCTGAATGTGGAGATCCCCATTTATTCATGTACTGCAAATTACTGCTTCAATGGATGCTCCATGCTTGCTAAAGATCAAGATCCATTAACAAGCAACAATTTATTCTGAGAAGACTAGAGATAAGTGGCATATGTATTTGTCTCTATCGACTATCATCAATCTCAATAATTCATATATTGATAGTTTTTAACCAAAAAAAAAATCTACTGGTCATGTATATATGTATTAATTAATAGTATAACTGAGGTTGTTACCTACATATAATAATAACAATGACTCTCTCATGATCTCATCATATTTTGGGTATACAGGCTAACATACTGAGCCAAAGAGGTTATTGTCAAACAGATTTTTACGTCCCGAAGAAAGACCGTAAATGTTGCCTGTTAGTTTATTGTTCCAGGCAGTAAATACAGGATCAAGCTTTTTTAGATTGCCAATGGATCAACAGGAAGCTCACCCGAAAGTTTGTTGTTGTCTAAGAATAGATGGCTCAGCTTTGTGCAGTTTGCAATTTCAACAGGTATTATACCTGACAACTGGTTGAAACTTAAGTAAAGGCGTTGAAGCTTCACAAGTTTCCCAAAACTACTTGGTATGCTGCCAGTTAGAAGATTCTCTGAGATATCCAATGATTTCAGCTCTTTGCAGCTTCCAATATCATCTGGAATTGCACCCCCTAACCTGTTCTGCCATAAGTATAGCTCTTGAAGCTTGCTGAGCTTCCCAATTCGCCTTGGGATTGGCCAGAGATTAAATTCTGATTCAAGGACAGGGTCTGCAACTTGCTGCAGTTTCCAATCTCTTCTGGGATATGACCTGACAGTTGTGCTGTATAAATGACTAGCGTTTGAATTCTTTTCAGCATACCAATTGACGAAGGAAGACTTCCAGAAATGTTGGTTACAGCTAAGCCAAACCATACTAAATTGGTGCAGTTTCCTGTCTCCGTTGGCAGCTCACCCTCTAGTAATTCCCACCCGCTCGAGAATGTTCGCTAGTTTGTGTCGAGATCAATGAAAGTGAGCTCGCGGTATTCTCCAAATTCTTTTGGAATTGTGCCCGTGAGATTGCAAGATGATATTGTAAGACTCTTCAAGGACTTGAGGGATTGAAAATTTGAAGGCAATGAACCTTTTAATTCTACTGCTTTCAGGCTTAATTTCAGCACTTCTCCATTTGAGTTGCGATGGATCCCAAACCATTTGCATGGACTTAAGTCTGTAGGATTCCATGTTTTTAACGCATCAGTGGGGTTGTTTAACTTGAAACTGTTCTTCCATGTTGAAAGAGCTTGGCCTTGTTCATCAATGGAATAAAAAGTATAAAAGAGAAGTGAATTTATTGACAGAATTACCAAGGTGAAGGAGAAGATATTTGGAGAAAACAAGCGATACTGTTTCTGGCATTGCTCAGAGATGAGAACTGCCACGCCCCAACATTGGACTACATTTTAGGTTGGAGTTGTAAATGAGAACTTGTAATTGAAGTCAACTCATAATTCAAACAAATGAAATTTAAAAAATAAGATTAGACTAATTTGTAATTCGGTAAAAAGACCTTATATTATATTCTTAAACTTTATTCAAAGAGTAAACGACTTTTTTCCCACCCAAGGTTTGCCTTAATGACCTTTCCCACCCAAAAAGTTTCAAAATACCACTTTTCCACCTAAAGTTAATATTTCGTTACTACCCAAAGCCGATTCCGACTGATTCCGATGGCGAAAATTCTCTTTGTCACCACCATTTGAACTCCGGTTTCCTCTTTACAAAATTTCTCTCACTTGGGCACTTGATTTCTCATAGATTATCGACCATCGCTAAGCTAGGGTTTCCTGTTCTTAGCTGATTTTCGACGGTGAATATTCAATCAATCACCATCATTCGATATACTAGCCTCCACTTTACAAAACTTCTCTTATCCTAGATCCTAGTAACTCACCGAACGCTGACTGAGAAAGTGATGTGTATTTTGAGTTTTAACGGAATATAAACTTTGGGTAGAAAAGTTTTATTTTCAAACTTTTTTGGGTGAGAAAGTGTCATTAAGGCAAACCTTTGGTGGGAAAAAGTCATTTACACTTATTCAAAAGTCAATGTTAAAACAAATTGCAATTTGCAAAATTCAAATACAATTGAAACAATGTTAAAGACTCAAATCAACATTTAACACCTAGGCTTTACAAGAACAGGTGATTTCCCTGATTTGTGTTAATTCAACCATAAACAATATGGCACAATGCCGCAATCACACCAACCCCATCACAAATTCACGGCAGTGCCCAACTTTTTTCACTTAAATCAAATAAAAAATGCCACCAAGCTCATTTCTCAGTATTACCAACTAATAAGATGGCAAAACCCCGGGCCTGAACCGGGCCATCTAAAACTAGGCCCAAGTTGATTCTTAAGTGGTCAGCCCAGGCCCGGGTTTCCAGGATGCCCAATGCTGAATCTGATTTAGACCAAGAATCAAAACTTGGCATGCCAATGCTTTCAGTGGATCAACTTTTTGCTCCGGCCGCAGAGTGATGGCTTAAAAAATGGCCCAAAGGGTAGTCGCTGGAGCCCATAACTGTGCCAAATTTGTCAGCCAACTGAAGGGGCAGTGCCCTCAAGGCTCAAGTGTATGGAGCTTTGGTGACAACATAGGTTCAAGACAAAGACAAGAAGTGGGAACTTAATTAGATCACCTTTTTTTTTTTTTTTTTTTCTAAATGTGGAGATCCCTATCTATTCATGTACTGCAAATAACTATTTCAATCAAAGCTTCGTTTTGCCATCTTAATTAATGCTTTGTACTTGTTGAAGAAAATTATTGTAATTGTTGTCAACTAAAAGGGTGTCACATTTCACATTAATAATAGAGAGCATGTCTAAAGTCAAGTGACAATGGACTTAAAAAGACCACTTATTGACGATTTATATTCATGATAACGTCTACATCATTTATATTTTTCCAGTGGTGGGCACAAAGCTATTAGCCAACGATTATTCCTCGTATATCTTCTTGCTTATTCTCCCAAAAAAATAAAAATAAAAATTTAGAGACCCGCGAGGCTTCCTTCTATCTCGAAGCAACAGTATTCCGTAAGACTTTCGTCTATTGGGAAAATTCCCAATACTACCTCTTATAGAGTTCGGTCTACATATGTCAATTTATAAGCTTCATATACCTTAAACTAAGTAGACATATTTTAAAAGAATGATACTTGTGTGAAACCTAAAAACAAATCCCTGTGAATTAACCTAAAGGAGGTGCTATCAAGATTAGAGTTGAACTATAACTTTAGAAAAAAGGACAAGAGAACTTCACAACAACAGCTTGACAAAACATTGATATTGCCACAATTACAGTTCTTGCAATTGAAGTAAACCACAATTATACCAGTGGATCTGCAGTAATACTCAAACTGGGACCTTAATTTCTCTGCCATGTGAAGCAATCTAGTTTATTCAATCCTTTTATCATTATTTAATATACATCAAGCATAAGGGTCTTGTTCCTCTTCCTCATGCGGTTAAGATTAGAACATGCTTTCTTCTACATCAAGGGTAGTATTATTCTTTAGCAGTTTCTTTACATTGCTGGAAAGTCCCTCTCAGAAAGCACATGGCCATTTGATGTGACGAGCATGGGACCATGTGAGCCTTGCTGTTAAGACAGACTGGCTCTGGCTCAGACAAAGAGAAAGAGAAAGAGAATCTCATAACTTTGCAATAAATTATGATTTCATAAATACAAATCTACCAATCATTTCTTAAGGTTCTGCTAATTCTGCAGTCATTCCCTCAGTTCTTCCCAAGATAAATCTCCTCTTATTTTTGTTACATTTGTTAATAATATACTACAATAATATTACTTAGCAACTATGCTAAAATTTTTAAATATTTAAATCTACATTACCAAACATAGTAAATTCTGAGATTCAGAATTGACCCCTTTCTCATGGGTATTAACTGGTTTAGCTATCGGATCTTTTGAGGTTGTATGAGAGGTCTGATGATTATACTGACTCGTCGGAAAAGGTGAAAGAGCAGTGAGAAGATCCTTGTGACACTGCAAGTCTAGAAGGAGGAGGCAAGGACTTAGGAGGAGTACTTGATAATTGCCCTTTTGAAATGTCATTTTCTGGCCTTGTGGACTCAACATGTCTAATTTCTATCAGCATTGCAACAACATCCTTCATCATGGGGCGATCATCGGTTTTTATGCTGATGCAGAGAAATGATACAGCCAGTGTTTGAAGCATCTCATGCATTATAGGGTCAGCTCTCCCTCTAAGCTTTGGATCAAGAATGTCAGCTGGGTCTCTTTTGCTTGCTAAATGGTCTCTAACCCATTGAACCAAATGTGCACCACCAGGTAAAGTTGGGTCCAGTGGATGCCTCCCTGTTAAAACCTCCAAAAGAACAACACCAAAACTGTACACATCACTTTTCTCTGTGATCGGCTGCATTGATGCATGCTCTGTTAAAAAACCGACCAAAAAAAAAAAAGAAAGTAACTGATTAATCACATAGCAAAAAGCTGATTTAGAATTAGAATCTAAAGTGAAAAGGGTAAAGTAAGGTGAATACCTGGAGCCATGTAACCATAAGAACCAGCTAATTGAGGTCTTTGACTTGGTTTAGAAAGGCCATCATCAGGATTGCTATTGACAATTCTAGCTAGACCAAAGTCAGCAAGATAAGGCTGGTAGCCATGGCCTAACAACACATTCATCGCTTTAACATCTCCATGCAAAATAGCAGGCACACAATCATGATGCAAATATGCAAGTGCATGTGCTACACCTAAAACAACATCATATCTAGCATCCCAGTCGGCTCCTCCTTTGCCGCCTGCTCCATGAAGGAGTGAGCTCAAGCTTCCATTGGGGAGGTAATCATAGAAGAGCAGTTTCAGGTTCTTGTTTGAACCCCAGCCTAAAAGCCTGACAATGTTCTTATGCCTGATTGAACCTAGAGTCTGAATTTCGGAATTGAATGCACCAGACTCTTCTGATGACCACATCTTTTTCACTGCTAGTGTTTCCCCGTTTGGAATTGTGACTCTATACACAACTCCTGAGCTTCCTGTGCCGATCACATTAGCTGATGTTAGGCTCTTGACGCTGTCATCAATGGAAAACTCAAGCTTCTGATACAAAGTCATCTCCCAAGTTTCATCTTCCATGAACCTTTTGCTAGCCATTCTGGTTCTGACTAATACATAAATTGCTAGTAGCAGAAGAACTGCACTGCCACTGATGAGGATTGACATAACTAGCTTCATTGCTGATCTGGCTTGGCCTGCATGTCTTAAACCGTCTGTAGACGCTACAACCCCACCGGAGATGTATAGACCTCGGTTGGAAGCAAGGTCACTTAGAGGGAGTTTTCGGAAAAATGGGGTGTTAGGCAATTCCCCAGAGAAGTCATTGAAGGAGACATTGAGGGAGACAAGGTTTTGCAGGCTTGTAAGAACATCTAGGTCCCCAGCAAGTTTGTTGTGGGAGAGGTCAAGTATTCCTAGCTTGCTAAGGCCAGAGAATTCCGATGGGATCTCTCCTGAAAACTGGTTGCAGCTAAGATTGAGAGCCACTTCAAGTGCTGGAATTTGACCAAGTTCCTTCGGAATTTCACCAGAAAAACCATTGTTTCCAAGGTCTAACAAGATTAACTTTCTGCAAGACAGTATCTCCCCTGGAATTCTTCCAGAAAATTGATTCTTTCCCAGAAGAAGTTTGGTTAGCTCTGATAGTGAGCCAATGCTATGAGTGAGCTGACCAGTAAGCCTGTTGTCTGAGAGGTCCAGAAACTGTAGGGTTGTGGGAAGAGTATCAGGGACAGAACCAGTGAGACCATTAGAATGAAAGTCAAGAAACTCCAGGTTTTGACATCCAAAAATTGATGGAGGAATACCTCCAACAAGATGGTTGTCACTCATGTCAACAAAATTTAAGCTCTTCAAGTTGCCAATCTCTGATGGAATAGTACCAGCTAGCTTATTGCCTTTCAAACGCAGCCTTCGCAAGGTGGTGCAGTTGCCTATATCCGGAGGTATAAAGCCAGACAAATCATTGGAAATTAGAAGCAGCTTGGTGAGATTTCTCAATGAAAAAATCTCTTTTGGTATTGAACCAAAGAGATTATTGTAAGACAGATCAACAGCCTGAAGTTCCTGACACTGAGAAAGGCTCTTAGGAACATTGCCTGTTAAATTATTTTGCCAGGCAAAGAATAGAGTCAAGCTCTGTAGACTGCCAATAACATCAGGAATATCACCAGAAATTTCATTGTTGTCAATTTCCAGATGAGTCAGAGCTGTGCAGTTTGCAATTTCAATAGGTATGGTACCTGACAACTGATTGACACTTAACTGAAGCTCTTGAAGCTTCAAAAGGTTCCCAAAACTTCTTGGTATGCTTCCAGTTAAAAGATTCACAGAAAAATCCATGATTTTCAGCTCTGTGCAGCTACCAAGATCCTCAGGAATTGCACCAACCAAGCTGTTCTGCCACAAGAGTAAATTTTGAAGCTTGCTGAGCTCCCCCATTCTCCTTGGAATCGGACCGGAGATCGAATTCTGATACAAGTACAGATTCTGCAACTCACTGCAGTCTCCAATCTCTTCAGGAATAGGGCCTGAAAGTAATGAAGTATAAATAGCTATGGTTTGAATCTTTTTCAGCTTTCCGATTGAAGAAGGAAGCCTTCCAGAAATGCTGGTTTCGGCGAGGCCTAACATAACCAAGTTTGTGCAGTTTCCAATCTCCTCTGGCAGCTCACCCTTCAGATTCTGATTCCCTCCTGCTCTGAACACTTTCAGCTTGCTCAATGCTCCAATACTTTTTGGAATCTCCCCACTGAGTTGATTGTCATAGAGAGTCAAATAAGCAAGACTTGACAAGTTTCCTATGCCAGAAGGAATCTCACCTTCAAGAAAATTTGTATTAAGATACAAACTTTCCAATTTGCTCAGCCTGCAAATCTCCACTGGAATCTCCCCTGAGAGAGAATTCCCACTAAGATCAACGAACACGAGTTCGCGAAACTCCCCAAGTTCTTCCGGAATCCTCCCTGTGAGATTGCAAGATGATATGATAAGTCTCTTCAAGGACTTCAAGGCCTGAAAATTTGAAGGCAATGAGCCCTGCAAATCCAGTCCTTTCAAACTTATCTCCACCACTTCTCCATTTGAGTTGCAATGAATCCCAAACCATTTGCATGGACTTGTGTCTCCAGGATTCCAAGTTTCCAACACATCCCTGGAGCTGTTCAAACTGTTCTTCCATGTCAAAAGAGCCTGCCCTTGTTCATCAATAGAATAACAAGAACAAAACAGAAGAGAAGTTATTGTAAGAAGCAAAGTGAAAGAAGAAATATTAGGAGGAACAAACAGATGCCTTAGAGTTTCAGGCATTGCTTAGAGAGAAAAACAGGTTATCTGTTTTGGGATTGTAGAGGGGGGAACCCCATGTTTTGTTTATAGAAGAAAAGCAGAAGATCTGGATCCAATACCACCTTCTTTATTTTTAATATATTTTTTTAATATATGCAGACTGGTGAATTTGGTTTTATTTATCAAAGTGGACTTTTTATGGGATGTATTGTTTAGTTTCTGGTGTCATCAATGTGTTTTTGTTTTCTGAAAATGTTTCTGCTTTTTTTTTTTTACCCAGGAGTAACTGTCATACAGGGAAATGTTGGTACTTGAAGCAACTAAAAACATTTCCATTTTTTTTAACTCATAATTTTAACAGATTATAATAATCTTGTTGCCTCTTTTTCTGGTCATTTTGGCTGTCATTCTCAAATACAGAATTTCACGTTGTCATAGTCAAGAGATAATGAGATTTTTCAAGCTCGTATGATTAATCAGCTCTAGAAACTGATTAGATTAGATGGAAAGTAAGAGGGTTAATTTTGCTGACCTCCCCTAATGTTTCCCCAATTTGTTTGCCCTAATTTTACAAATGCTTTTATAGTTTGAGAAATGTAGCCTAGAGATTGTATTTTTCAAGGATAATAATACTACATATACAAAGTTGAAATCTTAATTTTGTATCTCAGCGTATATGGCAGTTGATTTGACAAATTATTTCACTTATTATAAGGTACCATGATTAAGAAGATGCAGCTAAATTAACTATCACATGGGCTACGATATAAAGTCAAAGATCCCAACTTTGTAAATGTATATGTAATTATTTTGAGGGTAAGGGATAGAGAAACATCGTCTTCTTTCTTCAACAATTTCTGATATCTAATGGATTATATACCACTATGTAAGATTCATATCCAGATGAAGAACTTCTAACCATTTGTCAGAGGAAAAAAAAAAAAAAACCTAATATCTACAAAGATCCGCCCCTCTATTTATCCGGCCACAAGTGGGTGGTTTACAAGGGTATTTTTAAAACATGTCAATTATCATTCTGTAGAAGAGATTAGTGATCCTTGTAAGAAAACTGACGGTAATTCTCAAACTATAAGGGTGTTCCAAAAACTATACTAAAAGTAATAAGAGGTCATTAAAATTAACCCAAAAACAAATATTAGTGGCATAATCAATTAACAAGATAGGAGGTCCAATTGATAGACTATCTCAAAGATAGTGATAGCTTAATGATCAAACCAACTTGACACACATCCATTGAATGTTTTAGTTCTTCTCTCTTCTGATCAAATTGATGATATCTTCTTCAATAAGCCAAGAACTAGGGTTGTCCATCAATTTTTTTGTGGTCACAATTGATGAACTAGCCATGTGTTTCTTATATGGCAATGTTTCAATATTACTTTCAATCATTTAAGCAGCTAAATACACAGTATTATGTCTCATAAATGTTAAAATTTATTCATCTTTATAATTGAGTGCCACAAATTAAGGTAAAAAGTAGCATATCATTATACTTCTTTATTTTATTTATTTATTCTCTTTTAAGACTAGGGGTGTCTGAGCCAACTTACACGTATCTCAACTAATCTCCCAAGACCTTGGAACTACCGACTAAGAAAGAGCTCTAATGGCCACTTCTATTAGTAACTGAAAAGGGACTCGAACTCAGAATCTGAACTCAGGACCTCTTAAGTAATACATTCAAGAGTCTATATCGAATCACTCGGATACCCAGGGTTGGTTCATTAGACTTCTTTATTCCAATGAATTTTGGGGATCTGATTAATTAGTTATTCTACAGAAGGCAGATTAGGTATAATTTACTGGATTTAATAAGCATTAATTGAGATTTATTTCAAGGAATCTTATAGAGTAATGAAGAGCACATGAATGTTAGGAATATGTTAAAAACTAATTAATTAATTAAAGGTTTCAATTAATTTATAAACTGCAAATCTGGTCATGTTGTCGGCTGGTCTTTGCTGTAAAGGATTAAAAGATAACATAAAAATTGAGATCAATTGGCCTTGAGTGGAAGGGACAACATTGCACCAACTTAAAAGAGTTCTTAATTAATATTAATTATTAACCCATCATCAAACCTTACTTACCTCCACAAAACATTATAAGATGGTTCATTTTAAAATATCATATAGTGGATTAACTTTAAAGTCATGAAGATCCCTTATTTAGATTTCGAAACATTACCTTTTTTTTAATCAAAAACACGTCTATTATCATATTGAAATAGTGAAATTATTCGCTTATAAGAAACTATATAAGCGAGTCTTTCTGAAAACGAATCATAATAGTAATATTTATTGTTGAATTATATAGGTGTTTATCAACAAAGAGGAAAACTATCACATATGTGTCAATATGTAACTTTTTTTATAGTTACTTTTAATTGATCAGTCTCATTGTATTAACACAATAATTTTCTGAGACGTCTCTCATAATATATTATTGATATGATAACGACCATTCAAGGATTAGAATTTAATGAATTGATGGTACTCTTCTTTCTCTCCATATTAACCTTGGAGATAAAATTTTTCACTTTGACTACCCACATTCATATTATGAAAATTAATGCAATTTTATGTCATGGTATTAAATGCAATACATGTTCAAACACTCTTCATCAAATGGTCCCCTTGAGCTTGTCTTCTAGGGCAAAATCTAATTTTTTTTATCTTCAATCTTCATACATCATGCTTCTCTCAATACAAACATCTTGTAACTTGTTATGTGAAATTTTGCCAGCATTTTTTATAAGTACTTCACATGATTTTGCAGAAGCCTTGTAGAAGAAAGGAAAAAAATATTTGATGGCAGAAAGAGAATATGAAAGAAACCGTAAAAAAAAAAAATTCAATTAAATAAATAAAGAGTCAAGAATAACATCAAAAGAAGAGACAAGGAATACCCCAACTAAATTTAGAAGATCAAAATTATTTTTTATTATTTAATTTATATATAATATGATAAAATTGAAATGGTCCCTTCTCCAACCCCACCTTTTATTGTTAACTTTTTGGGTGAAATTTGAGATGCAACTTGTAAAAGTTTTCCTATGCCTTAGAAATAAAGGATTTTGAAGATATAAAATTTGAGATAACATTAATGGGGGATGATGTCAAATTTCACCAAGCAATATTTAATAATGGGCACTTTAATTTCTAATTAAATGGGCATTTCAATAATTAATTAATTTTTCTTTAGGAAATGGGTAATGTTGACATTGTAACTTCTACTTAAAATCTTTGCAAACCTCTCAAGTTGCCAAGTTTTCAACTTTTTTTTTTTTTTTTTTAATAATTGGAGTGTCCGAGACAGCCTATGTGCAGTCGTGTACTTCAACTAATCCCTAAGATCAATTGAATATCTTATAAGTTCAATTGACTAAGTAAGTCATAAATATGATAAATGACTACTTTGTAGGACTCGAATAAAAGACTGATGGGTAATCGACCTAGATGGCTATAGTCTTATCATTCATCCACAAGCCTAGTGGTTAGTTTTCAGCTTCTTTTCTAAGCATATTTCTTCAAAGCACTCACTTAAAAACACTATTTAGAAGCACCAAAAAGCCCCAATTCCTTAATAGCACTTAAATATTGACTTAAAACAATTCACAAGAACTCAATATGGATCTCATCACATGAGTATGATCCCATTTGCTTCAAAGTTTTGAGGAATTGGAATCTACTAATTGTTAATATCTTAATTGGTTTGGTGGAGGAAAAAAATAATAATAAGATGAAGCACATGACATGAACTAATATTGCCAATAGTTCAAATTAAATGGATGATGCAAAAACAGGGAAGTTTTAAGCTTAGTTTATGAACAATATTCTTTCTTCCACATAGAGAAACCAATTACCACATTAATAATTTTCCTAAGTAGTGGGGCAATTTTTTTTAATGCTTGAGTTGTCAATTTATGTGTTGTGCCATGAGAGTTTGCACATGGAGAAGAGAGAGAGAGAAGGTTTATTACTTCTAATTTTAATATATTTGGAGTGATTTAGTAGAAACTATGTATTTTGAATGGTATTTAATTTTTTTTTATCTTTCTGAAATACGTTTTTATCGATTTAATTTTATAAAACATGTTTGGATATCTCAAAACGGTTTTTATAGAGTCAAAAGTACTTTTAAAGATAATTTATATACATAAATTTGAGGGATTTGTATAAATGTATAAAAAAAATTAAAACAAAGCTAAACAAATGACTTGAAAGGCTCAATGCTTCCCATAATTTGATATTATTTTTATAAAGAGTATGTATTTTTGAATAGTTTTTTTTTTAATATGTTTTTATCGATTTAAGTTTAAAAAACTTGTTTGGATATCAGAAAACGTTTTTTACAATGTCAAAAGTACTTTTAAATAGAAATTATGTACATAAAGTTGATGGATTCTTGTAAATGTATTGAAATTTTGAAACAAAGCTAAACAAGTGACTTGAAAGGCTCAATGCTTCCCATAGTTCGATAATGTTGTCATAAAGAGAATGTATTTTTGGATAGTTCTTTTATCTTCTAAATACGTTTTTGTCGATTTAATTTTAAAAAATGTGTTTGGATATCTGAAAGCGTTTTTTTATGACGTTAACATATACATATTACTTTTAAATATAACTTGTATAGGCATAAAGTTGATGAAACTCTATAAGATGTTGGGAATTTAAACCATTTGTAAGAAACTATGGGCAAGATTGTGGAAACAAAGATAAAGAAAGGGCTAGAAAGGCTCAATGCTTCCCAAAATTTCTTGAAGGCACAAGAGTCAAGAGCTCAAAGCAGATGTTCACACTACAGCAGATGTTCACACTACACAAGCAAGATAGAGAGCAATTTAGTGGGTTTAAAAAAGTGCTTGTGGCCCCTAAAATGGCCTACAAATTGTGGCATTATGAGAGGGTTTTTTGTTGGGATATGACCACACGTGCTCTATGGAGTTGGCAATTTGGATATATATGCATGCACCCCACAAATTATTTTAGTACCTAATTAATCCACTATGAATGACGATGGATTCAAATTAAGACTTGTCATGAGCCAAATCACAATCAAATTCAAACCCACATCCCATTTCCAAATCCCTGTTTTATAGTGGGATTATTATTATCATATACATGATCTGATCAATTAATTTCGATCACATCCGAAGATTATTAGAAAGTATTAGATACCTTTATTAGAGAGTTTTGATACCTCTTACATGGGGAGTTTAATAAAATGGATAATTTTATTAATCTCAAACGAATCGACACATTCGGCGCAAACAGCTTCAGTGGCCCTGGCTTTTGTCTCTATCAAGAGCAGTGAATGTGGATGAAATTAAACGAACACTCAGGATCTATGTTATACCCATTTGTAATGCAATGCCCTATGATGGTCCAAAATGAATTCCCATTAATCAAATGTATTATGTATTGATTGTATTATTTTAGTGCACATTATTGGCACTTCTCACTTGAATTTGACTCATATATCACTTGGCCAAGTAAGTCTTCTCTTTGACAACCATAATTGAGTTATTCAATTATCACTAATGAGTTGGCTAGATTCACAATTTTAAAGCTTTCAAAAGAATACTAAATCTATGAGAAGATATTAAAATGTCTAGTCTCTTTGATGTGGCCGGCTGATTTTGTGAGATTCTTGTTTATTTCTTGTTGATTATTGAAAATGTTTGCATCAAAATTGGTATTAACTAATACCCATATTGTCATTATTATTGACTGTCTTTTTTATATTGGGACCTATAATATATTCTTGAATAATTGTTTTAGAAATCTCTTTGGTACGACTTTTTCGAGTAAAGCTTATAAAAAAAGAGATTTTATTAGAGTAGAGTAAAAGAAATTTATCAAAAATGGTTTTAATATATGATAGTAGAACATTCAAATTTATAAAATTGAATATGTATATTTTTTTAAATTTCAACACTTTAAATAAGTTTTAATAAAGCTTATAAATTTTGAGCTTCTCCTATAAGCCGTAAAATAGTTTATTTTAATTCACATAAACACTTTTGAAATGCAACCAAACAATCTAATAATTTTCAAAAATGCTTATAACTTTAAATAGTCTCTTCTGGCTAGTAGATAAAACCAACCAAATAGGGTCGGAATAAGTTATATGCATCAAATGCTAAGATAATATATTCGAACTTTAGATTGGGATTCGCTGTTCAATAAGTTTTGCAAATCTGACCCACTTTTAAGTAGCTCAAGTGGTAGGATGAGTGTTGAGATGTGTGGTTAATGTACACAACCTCAAGTTCGAATCCCTGAGCTCCCGAGATTTAAGCAGGTGATCATGGTAGTGAGATGATGTACTAGTTCACTTACAGGGATTAGTCGAAGTACGTATAAGTTGGCGTTCGAACACCATGTTTCAAAAAAAAAAAAATCTCTTCATCTATTTATATAACTTGTGATAACCCACTTATGATCAACCCTAAATCACTGTTTTCTTCTTTTTGAACAGGGCTAAGCAATATACCTAATTGTGATTGAATTATGCATTGAAAACACTTGGATAATTGAACTCAAACTTCTGATTATGAATGGGACACGCAGTTTAATAAAATCTACAAAAAAATTCTACCATCTTTTCACCACACGTGTGATGCTTGACTGATGATTAACCACATACATCTTTTTCTTTCTTTTCTTCTTTTTGAAAAAGCAAAACAATGTACCTAATCTAATAGGTATACTATAAAGTTCACTAATACATCATTATATTTGACTCTCCCTTTTGTTATTGTTATAGACTATGGTTTCGATTATGTCATTTGAGAGACACTTAAACCCCTCAAATGGCTACTTTCTTTGGTGGGTTTGTTTTCTTATTGAAGAAGATGACCGATTGCTTTCAATAATGTCCTTTTATAAATCAAGAGTTTGTCATGTATATGCTCAATAAAGGTCAAATCATTGTCCCCTAATCTAACTTCCCTGTCCTAATCTCTCCCTTAATTTCAGGAATTGGGGGTTCCCAAACACATCTTTTTATACCAATTCATAATATTGTAATTGAGATAATGGATGTAAAAGAGGGAGAAAAGCTATAGGATTGGCCTATTAAAATCTACCCTTTTGATTGAAGTACACAGCTTGTTTAACTAATTGATTATAACCTTTGGTAGTCAAAGTTTGTGTGCTTAGGCTTGTTTGTCTCTCTCCCTTTGAATAAAATAACCTTGACAGTTGACACCTAAGGCTGTGCTGTGATTAATTACTCTAGGTTTAGCTTTCACTTTGTTTGCTAATGAATATTTAATTAGGGTTTGGATCTACCCCATCAAGGAGGTCAAGGGTTGGGTCTAATGGGCCAAATTTTGGGCCCAAAAAGGTCCACCACTTTTGGCCATAGAGCTTGCAAGTCAATGGGATTTGGATTCTTTTGTTTGGATAGTTTGACTAACTTATTCTTTTCTACAGTAGCACTCTTCTATAAATCTTTGAGGATGGACATAAATCACATCAACGCGCATAGAATACATTATATGACTAGACATATGTCACATAAACGCACGTGATCTACATGTATCATATGATTAGACGAACATAGATAAATAATTTTTTTTTTTTGGTATCCGAAATATCCGTACTAGTTTACATGTATCTCAACTATTTTTTCAAAATCCAAAGTTAACGACTAGATAAACCTCCAGTGGCTACCACTTATTAATAGGCATAGGGATTCAAACTCAAGACCTCTTCAATAGTACACTTAAAAGTCTCAAACGAACCGTCAAACTACCTAGAGGTTGTTAATAAACACTTTTTATTGAAGACGTTCTTTTAATCTAATTGCCAACCTAGAATCTAATTGCCAACCTTTGGTGCGAGATCAACCGTTGGACCCGTTGGACCCTATCCTTAGATGATGTTACCCCCAAGAAGATAGCAATTCCCTTGCTCACTCTATTGATTGAAACTTTTAGTTGGCTGAAGTTGACTATATTAGCATGTTTAGCGAAAAAGGAAAGTTGATTCTGGCTTGTGTCATTCTGTAATTTCCACGCCAGTATATGAAGATCTCATTTCCATGTCAAAGTATAGAGTTATGTTAATGCACAGCATCATCTAGTCAAGTCAACGATCGTATCAGATCGATTATGTTACTGTACTGGTAACATAGCACATTTCCACAATATAACCAAGGGCAGCTGGATCAAAATCCTGTCAAGGTCTCAGTACAAATTATGCTCATAAAAAAATATAAGAAGCTCATTCAAATAGCTTTCTACAGGGTTTAAGTTCATGTCAGCAACCAAACTGCCACAGTACCATGCCCATCTTTGAAACCTTGAGAAAGAAAATTCCAGAATCCCACATTTTTGGAACAAGAAAAAGTTAGCAATAGTTCATACCTAGGAGAAAAGACAATTTCAAACCCCACATCTTGGAAAGGGAAAAATGGTTATAATGTGTATTTTTTACCAAAATTTGGGAAAATTCTAGTGCAGTTTCATTTGTTATAACAATCTTTTGGTATGTAAAGGAAGACATTATCATTAACTGGGACACTGAGTTCACCAAAGAAATGTACAAAGGGAAACATTCATAATAAAAAGTCTAAGGTCACCTCCCAAAACATCTCATTACTGAAGAGGTAAGTGCAGAGAAGAGGAATTTCATCCCAGCAGATCCACCTGGAAAGTAGGAAATGGCGTAGTATCCAAGCGCAAGAACCTAAAAGTCCATGAAAACAGAGATGTTGGCATTAGATCAGATAATATGATATTTTATTGTAAGAAATATGTAATATTGAATCTGCACAAAATGTTCTCTAATGAATGAGAAACAGATATATATTTAGATAAGCAGAAATCCATTCTGAATAGGGTTGTTTGTTTACTTATCAGAAAAATCAAAATGATGAAGTAATGAACAATTACAGTGATGTGTACACAGCAGAAAAAACAAGACTCTAAGCAAACAAACGCAGAACTATAGATAATATAAGAGAAGATAATTTCATACCTGAATCACAGAAAAGAGCACAGAGAGAACATAACTGTGAAGCACCATAGAAACATATATGGTGCCTACCATACTGCCTATGAATCCCAATGTGAATGGAAGTCTCTGAAAGAATAGTGGATAAGACAGGAAAAAGAAACATTAGACAATTACAATTAAATTTAGAAGATGGCTAGCACACCTCAGAGAAACTATTTCTGTATGTCTAAATATAGCACAGATACCTCTTTAGATGACATGTGGACCAGCTGATTCTTTGGACCTCGAAGAGCGAAGAATGAACCAATTATAAAGCCACATCCAAGGGTAAAGGAGATAGCGAATTTCTGGGGCATCAGAACCATGATTGGAAGGAACATGGTGAATGCGATGAAAACAAAGAACACTCCTGTTGCCAGTAGTAAGGCAAAATACATAAGTGCTTTTCCAGAAGGGACATTACTAGTGGCAGACTGGAGGTTCCCAGGTAGATCTCTCACCCCTTTTGAGACCCTGAAAAAGCATGAAATCGCATTAATAGTATACAACTAGGTAAGACTGCTGCCATAGGAGTAACTAACTATTAATATTTCACAATAGAAATAAAAATAGTGAAAGATTTGAGCTAAAGATTTAGCCCCAACATATTTTCCCTCATTGGCAGCCACACCATCCAAATTTCAAGAAAATTGATTTAAATTTTTTTTTTTTTTTTTTCCAGTGGTGACAACTTTATAAATAATACTACTTGCTTCTTGGCCAAAGTTCAAATTATTAAGTAGAAAGGAAGTAAGGCATATGAGAATTCTTTTAAAACCACAGGCTACTAGAATTTTATTTGCCATTCCACAGTTCAAAGAGGAAAAGAATTTCAAAGAACTGAAGAAAAATAGCCAAAGTTCAAGTTGCAAGGCCTTAAAAGAAATGATGGATTGAGTTGACCAATCCCTAGCCAATATTGAAATTGAAAACAAAGATACACATTTGCATTTACTGCCAACCTTACACAATTCAAATGATCTTCTGATGCTAATCAATATCAGTTATCACCCTGTGATTGTTAAGTCACATGATCAGAAAATTAAATCCCACTGACAACTTAGACGTCAGCCATGGATCTTTCTCAGTCTGCATTGAACTACTGAACACAACTAAGCATGCTCATATTTCTTATTAATAATATCCCTCATATATGATCAAGGTATAGTAGAACACCTATGCTTTCGATACACTGAAACTGACATAATACACTTTTCTTTGCTCTTCTATCAAAACCCTGTTCCACAACACTCGAGAAATGACTATCCATACTTCACCTCAGAAAATACCTCAGCTTTGTCCATTTCATCCAATATGATACTCAACGAAACCAGTTCAATCAGATGTAAACTTTAAAAACAGATACATAACAAACAGGCAACTGATCTCTTTAACCCAATAAAAGCCAACACACAAGTTAATAAGAAAATTCTTAAACATCCACGCTCAACTTACATCTCTACCACCACATAAATGCTTAATCAAACTAGCAAAAGTAGGTTTTAGTTAGTTCAATTAGTTGGATCTCCCGGCTTTGTATAAGAGGTTTTGCAATCAAATCTCGCTCCCGTAAGCAAGGAATGGATTTTGGTTCAAAATTTGTCACTTACAAAATTAAGAAAAAAATGGCATAATATAATAATTTCATATATTTACACAAGCAAATAAACATATTACACAATTATACGGAAACCCAGCTCAGTGAGGCTAAAAAAACAAAGACCCATAATCAAGTTCACTTTTTTATACAAACCCAGATATAAAATTGATGCTTACACATTGAAGGTGCCAGAGACCGAATCATTGGCGGACCTAACAGCAGATTCGAGATCAAACCCGAAAGCTGATCCGGAGCTCTCATCGGTGTCTCTTGAAGCCGCGTACGAGTTCCAGTCTGCTAGTAAAGACGGCGTCGAACTGTTCTGTAGCTGATCTTCACTACTCCCACCACCACTGAACCAGCCTTGCGCCATTTTCTGAAACTCTTTCTCGGGAAACAAACACCCAAAAGCTCGGGAAAAGAATTTTATGGGATTTCGTTGAGTTAATTACAAGCTTTCTCTTGTTGGTGATAAAATTGGGTAAGCTTTTTTGTCTGTTACCGTGTTTGAAAGAATAGTAGATGTTGCGATACAATGGCTTGAAATCGAAGGAAAGTGGATGTTTGAGTGAGGATGGACAGTTTTGAAACGATTCCATTTTACTGGAATCTTTTTGATAGTTTTAACTGAATATATTTTCTTCACCTCCTAATAGTTTCACAATTATCATTCAACCCCCATGAGACTTCCATCAATTGTATGTAGTTATCAAGTTATGTAAATAAATAGAGTAATGCTACAGTTACCAAAAGGAGCACACCGAATGACGTAACATAATCTTGATCGTCGATTAATATTAATTCATAATTAATCAATAATCAGGATTGTGTCACGTCATTCAGTGTATGAATTCCGCCTTTCGATAACTGTATTATTTTTCAAATAAATAAGTGTTAGGTCACCCAAATATAATATATAATATTCGTGCCTACTCAATTCTAGGGATTCTCTCCACGATCTATTATGATTGTGATTTTCTCTCACTTTTACGACTTTTTTTCAAAAAATTAATGAAGATATGCGCAATTTAGAAAATGGGAAGTTAGTGCGGGTTTGGCATGACTTTATATGTGCATATTATATGTTACATATATATAAAAATACAAAGATAAAAAACCATGCAATAACATTTGGAGATAAACTTAATCTACAATTTGATACAGAAAAGTTTAACTGAAATTTTATCATTCAACATTAATCAACACTAGTTAAATCGACCTACAGTATAAGTGATAGGACTCACTTGTAATACCCTAAATCAAATCCGACCAACACTCCACAAGCACACACAATCCTTATGACAACTTAGAGCAACACCTTTTATCTATATTCAATCGAGTCAAACTCACTCTTCTTGCAAACACAACACAAATGGGATTACAAACAAGGCAAATCAAACCTGGAAATGAGATGAAATGTAACCAAGGGAAATTAACTTATAAGAAAGATGACTAAGGATCAATCAAGCCTAAAGGAACTCCACCAGCTTGAAAGATCAATCCACCACCAAGTTTGGCCGAACTTGGGTGAAGGAACCTAAGAGAAAACAATTCTCCAAGGCAAATACTATTTATGCAATATTCAATGCCTACTTCATATTATGAAAGAGTGGCCTTTAAATAGGCATTACAAAACATAGGAATTTACCCTAACAAATATTACACAAAATATTAGGGGTGTTCAAAAGAACGTTGGACACAGATAACATTGGGTAGACAGGTGAATACCCGGGGTTTGGTTCTGGTTCTTACCAAAACGGCCGTCAACGGGTAGGTTTCGGTTCAAATTTTAGAATCGTTATTGTGTGGTTCCATTCCGGTTCTATAGTTAGGAACCAGAACTGGAACCGAGTAATATAAAATAAATTAAAGAGTAGGGGATTAATAAAAACTTGTAGAAAAAGTAATGTGAATACATTATATCTATATTATAACATTTAAAGTAAGTTGGTTGATTTTTGAGAATCTACTTTACAAAGTAATGGAGTTTGTAATTTTGAATTTATATTTGTAATTTATTTTGTTAACAAGTGCCAGGTGGGGGGTATTTGTAAGTTTTGGGTTTTTTTTTGCTATTAAAAACTTTTGGGGGTCATTAATTTATAGGGTACCCAGAACTAGAACCAGAACCCTTGTGGGTACCTAGGAACGAAATCATCAATTTGGTTCCAAATTCAAGGAACGTCAGTTTTGGTTCCAGAAAAAATGTAGGGTACCCAGAACCGAACACCTACAAAATATTAAGAAATAATTTCCCACCACACAATATCAACAGTGTAAGTCATACCCATTTATTGTCATGGACAACATTTCCTTAAATTAAGGATCTATGTCCTTATAAATTTTCTTGATTTTCCTTCAATAATGAACCAAATAGATCCACAACTTAACTTGGACCAATGAAGCTTTTCCCAATTGATCTTCACGGCTTGGCTACAAAAAAAGCTGTGCGTTGACTGTCATGTCTTGGACCCTTAACATACATCTCTGGACAAGCTTGAAGTTCTTAGTGCTTGGCCAATATTGTCCTTTTTGGGTCCTTAAATTTTCAATGAACAGTCTTGTAAGTTTAAAGAACATGATGGGCTGAATTCTCATCAATAAGGTAAATGGATTCTTTAAATTTTAGCTTCATAAAGTAGTGGTTGAATCAGACATGGGAACAGAAACCACCTATTAAGCGTGTTGTTCTCTTTCAACCAACATATCAAGTCACTAAATTTTAGGGATGGGCATTTGCCCCCACCCCATGGGGATCCAACCAATGGGGCAAGAATCCCCAAAAATTCAGGATAAGGCTGGGGATGGTCCTAAAAAAAATCCCACCTTCCTTTTTATTGAGAATTTTATGTCTTTTCTTTGCAAGATTTATATGAAATTAGAGTTTAAATCATGGTTTTAACTTTTAAGTAATGTATCTAAATTTATAATATTACTTTTATAATATTTCTAATGTTTGTATTAATTTATAAAAAAAATAATTTAAACGAAGGAGTCTAATAATTAAATAAATGTATATTACTTTGTGAATTCACAAAATAATAATACATGCCCCAAAAAATAAATTTATTAGATTATTACAATTTACCAAACAATATAAGAATTTACACAAACGCTTAACGACTTACAAATTACACAAATTCAATTATCCTTTAATTAATTAATTGAAAATTTTGCTATTCGGGATAAATACCAGAAGCCCCATTATCGAGCGGGCCGGGCCGGATGGGGATGGGAGTGATTCCATCCCCACAAGCCAAGGACGTCATGGGAGTGGATACGAGGACGGGACAGGAATGGGCCGCCCATCCTGAAGCTGGTCAGTCTAGGTGTCCTCACAGCACAAATAGTAACAATAATCTCAGTATAACAGCAGCAGCTGCTCTTTTGCAGACGGTTTAAATAAAATCATTACTTGCGGCAAATATAGGATTAGGTCCAGATGAAACTTAGGGTCAAAAAATTTCACCAGAACAAGTTGAGCTTAATAAGCCACTGCAGATGTAAATGTTTGATAATCAACTTAATTCAGTCATGGAGAGTGGAAATGAGTGTATATGTTAAATTGAATGCAGATCTTCTGTAAGAACCAATGAAATGTTCATTTCAGCATGAAGGGTACAGATAATTTAATCAAATGTGACATAGAAATCAATCTTTAACAAAAACATTGGATACAAAATATGTAACTAACTCATAACACTTTCAAGAGTTGCACCTCGAATATCAGAGGCTCATTTGCGTGAGACAAAAGGCTACGCCGGGGCCAACTGCAAAGAAATAGCGGTGAAGATCAATCTACTTTCTTTCAGCAACAAAAATTTATAAGACTTGTATCATTTCAAAGAGAGGAATCCATGAAAGGTGAGGGGAGGAGAAGGGCCCAGAAAAAAGAGAAACAAACATGAAAAAGTAAAAGTAAGTCCATTTGAGAATAAAGTTAAAGAGAGTTCAATAGAGTGAACCTCCTCAGGGATAGGTTTTAAGTTCTCATTTATGTATCCCACAGAAGGCGGTACAATGCTCTTCGCTTTCCTGAAAAAAAATGCGAGTCACATAATTAATTCATCGAAGTAGATTAAATTCAAAACAAAACACAAGCATTATTATATTGATCTTTTCAAATTTTTCGCAGAAAGCACCAAGTACAACTTAAAATAACTGTCGTTCATTAATATGAAACGCAAAGAGAAAGGGATCAGGATGGTGATATATTTCTCTTACCACCAAGGTTAGTCAGAGAGGGTGAGATAGTAGCAAATTATTTCCAAAATCATAGGCCTTAACAGGCCGATTGGAAAATCCAGGCAATTGAAATGAAGAAATTAATGAAAGTGAAAGATTAAGCAAAGAACAGGTACTTGGCTTTAAGAAGTACTTATTAACCATGTTGAAAGTGAACGTTGTAGTCAAGATCTAAAGCTTAATACATACCTCCAAACTTCATGCCAAGCAAAACCTCCTTGAGACCCTTTAAGTCTGTCAATTGTGCAACTTTTTTAAAAAGATATGAAAACAACTAGTATCATGAGACTGTTAAGTCATCAGTTTCTAATTATACAGGAAACTAACCTTATTCTCATCTAGTGGAAGATGACAGGAGCACTTTCCCGCTGAATTGATCCACAGTACTGCAGTTGAACACAGAGTTTGTAAATAGGACTAGATCACAGAAGAAGGTCTATGTGTGACAATGTAGAACAAAAGAAAACATATCAAGAGAGAGATTCTCCAACTAGTTCCTGAAAACCACAAACACGAGTATAAAATTACCTATGAACAAAAATATCATTTGTGCGTCGGCAACATAATTTACTTCAACCAAATCTCCTTCTCTGGCTTCTGGTCCTCCCTTCAACAATATCTGGGAATCAAACAGAAAGAAGGAAGTTGAGTATATGTGATAATAAAATACAATGTCAAGAAATTTAAGACTCCAACCACAAATAGACAATTTAAAGCTTGAAATTAGCAACGTTAGTAGCATGCTCCTCAATTAACAAGGAATAAATTTTACCAAACAAAATCTTCTTAAACTCTCACACTTCCATAAACAACATTTGTATGCTTCAGCATTAAAGCTTGGATGGGGCCCATAAATCATGAGATCATCTACAAATGATCATCCATTGCAGGAAGCAAGTGTATAGAGAATACTTTTCAAGTCGACGGAAAAAATAATTTTCTAGAAGAAATATGAAAACTACTAATACTAGGCAATTGTGATATAAGTTGGATGCACAAAACAATCATTGAAATTCTAATCATTATCACTAATAGAATAGTTGAATTATATAACCTAACTAGTATGAGCATTAAGGAATTATACCTTGAAATTTTACTCCATGGCAAGCTTTAATGTCCTGGACACTCAAAACACCAAATAACAATTATTTTAGTAACGTGAGGAACGTACCAACAAATAATCTGCTTAAAATCCTCTATGAGAGAAACCAAAACAAGAAAAGAAAAGAAAGCTAACACATAAACATTTTACCGAATTACTTCAGGTTCCTTCATCTAGGCAATGGTGCAGCAAAAACAGGACTTTCATTTACACCTGTAGTATAGAATTGAATCCAATAAACTGCAAAAGCAACCTCCTTGGAAATCCTTCAATGATACAGCAGACAATCTGTCATGCAAGCTCTTATTGATAACATCAACACGTCGTGCTTGGTATTAAATACTGCTTTCACACAAAATACAACAAAATCAATGAACACACTGATTAAAAAAAAAAAAAAGTTTTGCAATATTGCATTCTGCTCAATATCAGACCATTATGTTGTCATCAAATGTCATTTAAACAAACCTCAAGGGGTCATTCAGCCTTTCATCAAACCCAGAAACCAAATCTTGTTCCTCCACAGTTACACTATCGCTAAATTCACTCATAACAAGGTTCCAAAAAAACAATATTCAAAAACTTGGTAAAAACACATCCAAGCAACACAATCCTTACCAAAAAAAAAAAAAAAAAAAACCAAGAAACTGGGAATAAGCAGAAGATACCTTGGAGATATTGAAGCACAAGGGAAGTGTAATGAGGCCTGAAATGGAAGAGTTTCATGAGCAAAAACTCTCTCAAGTGAAGTTCAGGTTCCAAGAAGTGTGTGGAATGGAAATTTCTTGGCTTGTGGTTGGATTGATGAAATGGTCCAAATGGAAGGGAATGGAATTGTTTGTGAGCAATACTATGTAACATTATTGAAATTCATCGTGACCGTCCATCTCTGAAAATAAATACATGAATAGTGCCGAGTGATTTATTGTTAAATGACTATTTTGTCCTTCTCTTTTTAAATCATAAAAGAAAGTGAGTCTTTGATAAAGTTTAAAGTCATAGGGGCTTATGAAAATCGTAACCCACCCTAAGTGGACTTAAGTGAAATTTTCCAATTTTTTATCGGCACACGGAGCGTTTCCACAAAGCAAAGAATAGATTTAAACTTAAACGAAACAACACAAACAAACAAACATCACCTGCGGGTCAGCTAACAAAGTCACAAATGAACACGATTGAACAGAACCCCACAAAAACTGCTCTACCACACACGTGGCAGACAACCACCGTAGAAGTCACACAACACACTTCGGCTGACTGGGTAACTTAATCAAACGTGAAATTGAAATCAAAGTAGAAGGATCTAGAAACCCTAGCAAACCCTTCTATAAAAGCTCGTTTACTCACCTTGAACGGCCTCAGTCTCTCTCTCTCTCTCTCTCTTTGTGACGCTCTGTAACCAAACAAACCCTAGTTTTTTTGATCGGAAGAGTATTCGGAGAGTAAACGACTCGTCGGTTTTGGTTTGAGATGGCAGCCGAGACAGAGACGTTTGCCTTTCAGGCGGAGATCAACCAGCTGTTGAGTTTGATCATCAACACCTTTTACAGTAACAAGGAGATCTTTCTTCGTGAGCTCATCAGTAACTCCTCTGATGTATGTTACTCTACTTCCCTCTCTGTTCGTCGTTTTCTATTTTTTTTTTTCTTATAGTTTTGAAAGGATGATAGTTCGGTTTTGAGGTTTAAGATGTAGTGTTATGTTCATGTGTAGAAATTAATGTGTTTTGATGGAATGTCTAGATCTGTGTTTGGTGTTTATGTTTACTTTGTTTGAGATTAATAGAAGTGATGTACAATTATTGCTCAATCAGGTTAAATTTTGTGTGTTTTTGTCATTTAAATTTCAAATTTGTATGTGAAGTACAAATTTATACTGTAGATCAAACATGATAAGCGTATTAGAAATTGAAAACAAAGAAACATGAAGGGGAAAGTGGTAACATAAGTGACTGAGATGTTTCTTGTGCAGATTTTGGTTGATTTGTATAATGAAGTAATTGTTTAGCTGTATTCGTTGTAGTGATAGTTGAATTGATATATGATTTTTATTGTTTAGTGGAATGGCAATTGTGATTGTTTGTATTTGCATTTGTGATTTTAGGATGTAAAGAATGTATTGATTTAATTATGGTGTCATGTAAAGTTTATCGAGTTTTAATGTAGCGTTTCTTAATGTTGAAATATTGTAAATAGGCTCTGGACAAAATCAGATTTGAAAGCTTGACTGACAAGAGCAAGCTAGATGCTCAGCCAGAGCTATTCATCCACATTATTCCTGACAAGGCTAGCAACACATTGACCATTGTTGACAGTGGTATTGGGATGACCAAGGCTGGTGAGTAGTATTTTTATGTTGGTTTACTTTACTAATGTACTTGGGTCTCAGAATGGATTGTGTGTGACTATCTTTTGAACGATCATTAACAGTTTTTTCTGTCTGTTCTCAGATTTGGTCAACAATCTTGGTACCATTGCTAGGTCTGGCACAAAGGAGTTTATGGAAGCTTTGGCAGCTGGAGCTGATGTCAGTATGATTGGTCAATTTGGTGTTGGTTTCTACTCAGCTTACTTGGTTGCAGAGAAAGTTATTGTCACCACCAAGCACAATGATGATGAGCAATACGTGTGGGAATCCCAGGCTGGTGGGTCATTCACTGTCACCAGAGACACCACTGGTGAGCCTCTTGGCCGTGGTACAAAGATTACCCTCCACCTTAAGGAAGACCAGCTTGAGTACCTTGAGGAGCGCCGGTTGAAGGATCTCATTGGGAAGCACTCTGAGCTCATTCTTTATCCAATTTCTGTCTGGATTGAGAAGACCACTGAGTAGGAAATTTCTGATGATGAGGATGAGGAGGGTAAGGTTGAGGATGTGGATGAGGAAAAGGAGAAGGTAGAGAAGAAGAAGATCAAGGAGGTGTCTCATGAGTGGTCTTTGGTGAACAAGCAGAAGCCAATCTGGATGAGGAAGCCTGAGGAAATCACCAAGGAAGAGTATGCTGCTTTCTACAAAAGTCTGACCAATGACTGGGAGGAGCACTTGGCAGTGAAGCACTTCTCAGTTGAGGGTCAGCTTGAGTTTAAGGCTATCCTCTTTGTTCCCAAGAGGGCACCTTTTGATCTCTTTGACACCAGGAAGAAGCCAAACAACATCAAGCTGTATGTTCGCCGTGTCTTCATCATGGACAACTGTGAGGAGTTGATCCCTGAGTATCTCAGCTTTGTTAAGGGTATTGTTGACTCTGAGGACCTTCCTCTCAACATCTCCAGAGAAACGCTTCAACAGAACAAGATCCTCAAGGTCATCCGTAAGAATTTGGTGAAGAAGTGCATTGAGCTCTTCTTTGAGATTGCTGAGAACAAGGAAGATTACAACAAGTTCTATGAGGCCTTCTCTAAAAACCTCAAGCTTGGTATCCATGAGGATTCAACAAACAAGACTAAGCTCGCTGAATTGCTTAGGTACCATTCTACCAAGAGTGGTGATGAGCTAACCAGCTTGAAGGATTACGTGACCAGAATGAAGGAGGGGCAGAGTGACATCTATTATATCACTGGTGAGAGCAAGAAGGCTGTAGAGAACTCCCCATTCCTTGAGAAACTGAAGAAGAAAGGTTATGAAGTACTTTTCATGGTTGATGCCATTGATGAGTATGCTGTTGGTCAACTTAAGGAATTTGAGGGCAAGAAGCTTGTCTCTGCAACCAAGGAAGGTCTGAAGCTTGAGGAGAGCGAGGACGAGAAGAAGAAGAAGGAAAGTTTGAAGGAGAAGTTTGAGGGTCTGTGTAAGGTGGTCAAGGATGTTTTGGGCGACAGAGTGGAGAAGGTCGTTGTTTCTGACCGTGTTGTTGATTCTCCCTGCTGTTTGGTAACAGGTGAGTATGGCTGGACAGCCAACATGGAAAGGATCATGAAGGCTCAGGCCTTGAGGGATAACAGCATGGCAGGATACATGTCCAGCAAGAAAACCATGGAGATCAACCCGGAGAACCCCATCATGGAGGAGCTGAGGAAGAGGGCTGATGCTGACAAGAATGACAAATCCGTCAAGGACCTTGTCCTCCTCCTCTTTGAGACCGCCCTTCTTACCTCTGGATTCAGCCTTGACGACCCCAACACCTTCGGCAACAGAATCCACAGAATGCTCAAACTCGGGCTGAGCATTGATGAAGACGTTGAAGAAGCCGATGCTGACATGCCACCACTGGAGGAAGCTGCTGATGAGGCCGAGGGCAGCAAGATGGAGGAAGTCGATTAAGCAGCTTCTAGTTTTTTGACTTTATTATCTCATCGAACTCTATTAACCTAGTAGTCTCTTTTATCTTTTTTTATTGTGTTGTCGTACTCTTTAATTAGTGGCTTTTATATTTTCCTCTTTTGGGCTTATTTTTATTTTTTGGAAAATGCTGAAGTCTGCTGTCTTCGAATATTTATATAGTTTACTCTTATAATGCAGTCGGCTTTCAAATGTTCCCAAATCATGGTATTTTGTTTCAGTCCCTGTTAGTTTATTTTATTGCAATTACACCGCTAAGACTATATTACGATATTTTTTTTTTTTTTTTTTTCTTGAAGGGCTGGAAATATGTGGTATAGGGCATGTTGGAAGTTTCAAAGGTACTTTACTTGAAAAGTGAGCAAATTAGTAGTTTTACTATTGGTTAAAGCTTTTTTTATAAAGTCCTTTTATGGGAGAATAACAATTTCCCACCCAAGATTTGGCGCAACCTAAAAAGTTTGAAAGAAATAATTTCCCACCCAGCCGTTCGTTAACCTCAACTAAAGAGGATGGAAAGAATGGCTAAGTCTGTGTAAAGTATTATTCTCCTCTCCCATCGTTAAGAGTAATATTATACTATTAATTTTCTCTCACAATTTTTTTTTTAACATAATTAGTTAATTCATAACAGACCTTACATGTATTTCATTAATTAATTGTTGGCAGATCAATTGTGAAAAATAGTTGTTTAGTATAACTTTATCATTATTTAACTTTAAAGAATGTAAGTTATCTTAATACATGTTATTGAACAATTTCTACTCGCACATAAAACATAATTTTTAAACGGGTTTCTTGTTAGCTTCAACAACGAATCCCTCACAAATCCACCAGGCTTATGTTCGCAAAAACACCTTAACAAAGAACTCAATTCTATCTAATTGAGCCACTTCAACTTGCACCTTCAAATGTACGGTTGTTTCATACGGTAAAATTGACATATCGAAAGTTTAATTTAAGAGAAGAAGAAGATAATATATTTAGGGAACATTATCTCCATTTGACGTGATAGATTTGTTGTGGAGTTGCGAAAGCAAGCAAAAGGCTTTTGCAACTCCTCCACAAATTCGATTGTGTGTCTCAAAGAATAGAAGTTTTCTCCACTGAAAACACCGAACATCTAATCACCAATAATATCGATACTTTGAAATTTTGGAAGAATAATATTATACCAACATCTTTTCTTGCAAATTTTTTCTTATATCTTTAACATGACAATTCGTTTAGTTTACAACAATCTCACATAAGTTCTTTATAGATCTTACTAATTAATTACAACCTAACTACGTTTTAATCCAAATAGGATGTGTTATTTCAGCATCCAAGAACTAAATCTTGGGAGAAGAAGATGGACTAGATCACAGAAGAAGGTTCTATGTGTGACAGTGTAGAAGCAAAAGAACATAATCAAGAGAGAGATTCTCCAAACTAGTTCCATGAAAACCACAAACACGAGTATAAAATTACCTATGAACAAAATATCCATTTGTGCGTCGGCATACAATTTACTTCAACCAAATCTCCTTCTCTGCTTCTGTCCTTCCCCTTCAACAATATCTGGGAATCAAACAGTAAAGAAGGAAGTCTGAGTATATGGAAGATAAAATACAATGTCAAGAAATTAAGACTCCAACCTACAAAGACATATTTATAAGCTTGAAATTCTGCAACTGTTTAGTAGCATGCTCCTCAATTAACAAGGAATCAAATTTTACCAAACAAATCTCTCTTAAATCTCTCGACACACTTCCATGAACAACATTTGTATGCTTCAGCATTAAAGCTTGGATGGCCGGCCATAAATCAATGAGATCATCTCCATAATGATCATCCATTGCAGGAAGCAAGTATAAGAATACATTTTTCAAGTCTGACGGAAAAAATAATTTTCTAGAAGAAATATGAAAACTAGCTAATACTACTGGCAATGTGGATTATAAGTTGGATGCATCAAAACAATGCATTGAAATTCTAATCATTATCACTAAATGAATAGCTTTGAATTATATAAGCCTAACTAGTAGAGCATTAAGGAAATTATACCTTGAAATTTTACTCCACTGGCAGCTTTAATGTCCTGGACACTTCAAAACACCAAATAACAATTATTTATAGTAACGTGAGGAAGTACCACACAATATCGCTTAAAATCCTCTAATGAGAGAAACCAAAACAAGAAAAGCAAAAGAAAGCTAACACATAAAACATTTTACCGAATTCCTTCAGGTTCCTTCATCTCAGGCAATGGTGCAGCAAAAACAGAACTTTCATTTACCCTTGTAGTATAGAATTGAATCCAATAAACTGCAAAAGCAACCTCCTTGGAAATCTCTTCAATGATACAGCAGACAATCTGTCATGCAAGCTCTTATTGATACACATCAACACTCGCTGCTTGGTATTTAATTACTGGCTTTCACACAAACATACCAACAAATCTGAACACACTGATTAAAAAAAAAAAAAAGTTTTGCAAATATCTGCATTCTGCTCTCAATATCAGACCTTATGTTGCATCAAATTGTCATTAAACAAACCTCAAGGGGTCATTCAGCGTTTGCATCAAACCCAGAAACCAAATCTTGTTCCTCCAAAGTTACACTATCGCTAAATTCACTCATAACAAGGTTCCATAAAACAATATTCAAAAACTTGGTAAAACACCAATCACCAACACAATCCTATACCAAAAAAAAAAAAAAAAAAAAAAAAAAAAAAAAAAACCAAACGGGAATATGCAGAAGATACCTTGGAGATATTGAAGCACAAGGAATGTGAATGGGCCTGAATGGAAGAGTTTCCATGAGCAACAACTCTCTCAAGTGAAAGTTCAGGTTCCAAGAAGGTGGTGTGTAATGGATAATTTCATTGGCTTGTGGTTGGATTATGTTTATGAAATGGTCCAAATGGAAGGGAATGAATTGTTTGTGAGCAATACTATGCTAACATTATTGAAATTACATCGTGACCGTCCATCTCTGAAATAAAATATCATGAATAGTTTGCCGAGTGATTTATTGTTAAATTGACTATTTGTCCTCTCTTTTTAAATCATAAAGAAAAGTGAGTCTTTGATAAAGTTTAAAGTCAATAGGGGCTTACTAATCGTAACCCACCCTAAGTGGACTTAAGTGAAATTATCCAATTTTTTATCGGCACACGGAGCGTTTCCACAAAGCAAAGAATAGATTTAAACTTAAACGAAACAACACAAACAAACAAACATCACCTGCGGTCAGCTAACAAAGTCACAAATGACACGATTGAACAAACCCCACAAAAACTGCTCTACACACACGTGGCAGACAACCACCGTAGAAGTCACACACACACTTCGGCTGACTGGTAACTTAATCAAACGGAAATTGAAATCAAGTAGAAGGATCTAGAAACCCTAGCAAACCCTCTTAAAAGCTCGTTTACTCACCTTGAACGGCCTCAGTCTCTCTCTCTCTCTCTCTCTCTCTTTGTGACGCTCTGTAACCAAACAACCCTATTTTTTTTTATCGGAAGAGTATTCGAGAGTAAACGACTCGTCGGTTTGGTTTGAGATGGCAGCCAGACAGAGACGTTTGCCTTTCAGGCGGAGATCAACCAGCTGTTGAGTTTGATCATCAACACCTTTACAGTAACAAGGAATCTTTTTCGTGAGCTCATCAGTAACTCCTCTGATGTATGTTCTCTACTTCCCTCTCTGTTCGCGTTTTCTATTTTTTTTTTCTTATAGTTTTGAAAGGATGATAGTTCGGTTTTGAGGTTTAAGATGTAGTTTTATTTTCATGTTAGAAATTAATGTGTTTTGATGGAATGTCTAGATCTGTGTTTGGTGTTATGTTTACTTTGTTTGAGATTAATAGAAGTGATGTACAATTATTGCTCAATCAGGTTAAATTTTGGTGTTTTGTCATTTAAATTTCAATTTGTATGTAAGTACAAATTTATACTGTAGAATCAAACATGTAAGCGTATTAGAATTGAAAACAAAGAAACATGAAGGGGAAAGTGGTAACTAAATGACTGAGATGTTTCTTGTGCAAGTTTTGGTTGATTTGTATAATGAAGTAATTGTTTAGCTGTATTCGTTGTTGATAGTTGAATTGATATATGATTTCATTGTTTGTGGAATGGCAATTGTGATTGTTTTATTTGCATTTGTGATTTTAGGATGTAAAGAATGTTTGATTTAATTAGGTGTCATCTAAAGTTTACTGAGTTTTAATGTAGCGTTGCTTATGTTGAATATTGTAAATGGCTCTGGACAAAATCAGATTTAAAGCTTGACTGACAAGAGCAAGCTAGATGCTCAGCCAGAGCTTTCATCCACATTATTCAGACAAGGCTAGCAACACATTGACCATTGTTGACAGTGGTATGGGATGACCAAGGCTGGTGAGTATATTTTTATGTTGTTTACTTTACTAATGTACTTGGTCTCAGAATGGATGTGTGTGACTATCTTTTGAACGATCATTAACAGTTTTTTCTGCTGTTTCAGATCTTTCACAATCTTGGTACCATTGCTAGGTCTGGCACAAAGGAGTTTATGGAAGCTTTGGCAGCTGGTGCTGATGTCAGTATGAGGGTCAATTTGGTGTTGGTTTCTACTCACTTACTTGGTTGCAGAGAAAGTTATTGTCACCGCCAAGCCAATGATGAGACATACGTGTGGGAATCTCAGCTGGGTGGTCATTCACTGTCACCAGAGACACCACTGTTGAGCCTCTTGGCCGTGGTACAAAGATTCCCTCCACCTTAAGGAAGACCACTTGAGTACCTTGAGGAGCGCCGGTTGAAGGATCTCGTTAAGAAGCACTCTGAATTTATTAGTTATCCAATTTCTCTCTGGATTGAGAAGACCACTGAGAAGGAAATTTCTGATGATGAGGATGAGGAAGAAAAGAAGGATGAGGAGGGTAAGGTTGAGAGTGGATAGAAAGGAGAGGAAGAGAAAAAGAAGAAGAAGATCAAGGAGGTGTCTCATGAGTGGTCTTTGGTGAACAAGCAGAAGCCAATCTGGATGAGGAAGCCTGAGAAATCACAAGGAGGAGTATGCGCTTTCTACAAGTCTGACCAATGACTGGGAGGCACTTGGCAGTGAAGCACTTCTCAGTAGAGGGTCAGCTTGAGTTTAAGGCTATCCTCTTTGTTCCCAAGAGGGCACCTTTGATCTCTTTGACACAGGAAGACCGTCATACCCATTTATTGTCATGGACAACATTT